AAAAAAAAAACATTTTTTTCCACTTCCCCAGTTGGTAATTAGGTATCCACAGGTAGGAGGCACAGCTACAGATGTTTATTAAAGCCTCTATTAGATTTAACCTGTTAAGAATGAAAATAGAGCCTATCAGAMTTTTACATTATGACTTAAATGTAAAGCAGGCTTTAACAACTGGAAATGCTAGGTTTAAAGTCTGGCAGCCATGGTGGATATTGAAATCAAAGGTTCAGGTGGCCACTTTTCCTCGATGACTATCAGATTTATTCCCCAAATCACCATGTCTATGTCCTTCTTAGRATTTTGTGAAGGAGATTTTCCAATGTATTTAAGAGCTAGCCCTTGAAAATTGGCCTCTGAACAAAAAAATTATAAAAATCTCTATAGTTAGATAAAATAAGACTACTTAGAAAAATATATTAACTTAGGCAGAAAGGATCAAATGTGAATTCACTATAAAACCATAAGTTCAAAAATAGAATTAAAAAAAAGAATTTTAAAAAGTCTTAAAAATGACCCAGCTGTAATTACTCTAGTAAAAGAGCACAAGAACATCTTTATCAGATCAGAGTTCACTTTTTGTTTCAGATTAGAGTTAGTTCAGATATTCAAAGAATGTAAGAGTCCTGAAATACTCAGATTTTCAAAGTAAAGAAGGCTTGTATGTACTAGATTGTTCCATTTTTCCCACCCTGTGMTGTAGTGTTTAGGGAGGAACTTGTTAAGAAAGCAGGGTGGTAGAGTGCAAGAGCAGGTAAGAGAGCCAGCCATTTAGGTCCCACAGTGGCTTGAATTTAAAACTGACACTTTTCTTTTTTTTCCTCAACTGGTTCTCCACAAGCCTTATAAGTCTTGCAAGCTCTGCAAGCCCTGTAAGCCTCTGCAATTTACATTTCAAATGCAAGCTTTGGAGAGAGATCTGGCAGAAGCTAAGAAGTAAGGGAAGTTGCTGTTTTGAGCAAAACCTCATGCACAGGGCTTTTTAACCATTTTTTTCCATTTGTCCAGTTGGTAATTAGGTCAGATTTGGATGCAGAAAATTATGAGRTGTCATCTCCCATTACTTTTGAGTTGAGGCTCCCCTCTGAACAACATGAAAATGAACAAGAGAATAGGACATGGGTTTTTGCACCCAGGAACTGTCTCTTTGGCTAGAGGATGTCTCCTCAATGCTGGAGCCTCTGCAGAYAGCAATTTTTACTTTCCATGCATGACCTCTGGATTTAACTGCTGCTTTGCCAGTGTGGTCATAACTCATGTRCTTTTTCATGGGTGGCCATGAAAAAGATGCAAGCCCCCAGATTATCCACCTTTACCATGTGATTTGTAATCCCTGGGAGAACATATAACCCCTTTTTGAAATGAATCTTGATCTGTCTGTGTTGAGCCTCCAATTAGTTAATGAACTTTTGGGGGGAGGTAGAATTGAACCTCACTTAGAATAGAAAATCACGGCTGAGTCTAATTTACAATTTTGGCACAATTTGCGCTTTTTTAACAAGGTCTGAGAAGTCCTTAGGCCTGCACATAGGAGCTTCGGACTATTTCCTTTCTTTTTACAGAACAGGCTGAGCTGTAGAATGGTATTAAAATTTATATTTCCCTCTGATAGCCATGATTCTCTATCAGACCATGTTTGGCCGCAGAAGAACAGGAGTGGTAAAGGCTGGCATAAAGAGTTTACTCTAGCTGTGGGCCAAAGGAATCTTCAGAGAGCTGTGGATATAAATCTCCCTTTTGCAGTCAAAGAAACTAGCAGAGCACACAGGAGCACAGAAACAACAATGGGAATCCCTGTGGGTTTGCAAAGACTTAATATGTGAACAAAGGGAATCTAGGGATTTCCTGGAGAAACACTCCATGTAAAATGTCCTTCTCTCAATGGCTTGTGTCTGATCAGGAGGGGAGGGGGTGCTTGGGAGGAGTGAGCACAAGAGAGTGCAGTATGGCTCATTTTAGGTGAATATCTCATTGGGGCTTTCACTCAGTGCCACTCTATCGACCAGTTGCCACAGCATACCCTATAAGGGCAGTCGGGAGAGAAGTTGGGGAGAAACCTTTGAATTTCACCAGGGAGTGGCCCCAGCCAGAATCTCAGAGTTGTTCCAACCCTTTGTCCATCTCCACACACCGAAGGCAGACTGGGTTTAGACAGCACCAAATGTGCTCCGAGCCTGGATAGGATAGTGAGAAATGGCCTTCGCAGAACCCAACATGACTGACCTGCAGGATGGGTGATTAGGAGCCACCTGGGCCATGAATCCTATCACCTGAGTCTTGCAGAGTGGCGGCTTGTACTAACTGCATTTAATTAGCCAATGGGTGCTCACTACTTTCCTCCAAAAAGAAAGAAAGAGCGAAAGGCTCACCTCAGAAAGATGCGGGGTGCATGTGAAGGAGCTTGCCTTGGTGACAGTCCCAGCTAAGTCCCTATCTGAGACCAGAGATGATACTGATGGTGTTCAGAGTCCTGTTGCCCTGGTATGAACACCCAAGAAAAGCCAAAGCAAGAGCCAAAAGTTTTATTTAAAGGATAGAACAGAGACAAACCTCTCCCAAGGCAGAAAGGGATCCAGAGCTGRTGTCCTCTTATTCAATAAAGTTTTGGGGAAGGAATAAAGTGGTGAGYATCCTTGCTGGAGCACTCAAACAGGAGGAGCTGCCCTTGCCGAGGATGCTACAAAAGCAACTGGGTTCATCACAGAGGCTGGGCTCATACAACTTTTCCAAACTAGATTTACAAACTGAGCTCAACAGGGGTGAGAATCCTGAGAACAAATGTTCCAAATAGGCTGATCCTGAGACAAATCTGTGCAGTGAGCCAGTGAGTGGCCGGTTGGTTGGTTTGCTGATTTAATTTGTGAATATTATGCCTTTGGGCATAGAATGGGCTCTTCAACTTTCCCATCCATACTCTGATACTCACACTGCCTGAAAGGCCCCTAAAGACTTRTGGGTTGGTGATTCTTGCCTTGGGACCCTAGAGGGCAGAACCAAGAGAGACCTCTAGGGTCTGTTTCCCATCCAAGCCATTGAAGAAAGACCAGCACTGGAGAAGCCAAGGCAGGAGTAACCGGAGRCCTGAGTAATCAGCTCCTGATGCACTCAGGCCCTGGAGGTTCTCAGAGCAGATGGAAACACCACCCACTCTCCTTGACAGATGGACTTCCCTGGAACTGGGTTCAGGTCTGGTTTCCCCCAAGGCTCCCTGAGGCCAGAGGCTTTGTGGTAAGAGCTTCTTGACAGAGCCACAGAAGCAGAGGGAACATTGGGGTGCATCAACCATGACACCAGATGTAGAGAAGGAAACCCAGGGACCAGGAGGGACACCCAAAGGGACAGGAGATGAGAGCTGTCTCTCAGCCAGGACTCCACCACAGCGATGCCTCTTGGACCCGTGGGGAAAGAAGGAGAAACTGATTTCCTTCTGAAAAGAAGGAAACCCACAAGAAATGCCTACTAAGATCCCAGGGCAAATCCTCTAAACCACGAAAATGGCGGCCTCAGCCCTCATTAAACATATGAGACATTACCAAACAAGAGTCCAGTCAGCATTATTTGAGGTTTTAAAATCTTTAAACAGTTCACCCTCAACTAGGATTAGCCACTAACAGGCTCACATCGCCCAGAGAACTCGCACACTGCGGTTGAGTGAACATGCTGCAGGCCAGACACCAAGCCAGGCAGTTGGGGARCATTATCTTTCATTCCATTCACAGCCCCCAGAGGAGAGTTCCACCAGCTGGGCATTGGCAAAGAAACTGGGTCCCTGAGAAGTTTGTGACATGCCTCACACTCTCTGCAGCCCCAGCGCCTCACATTTCTGGCTTCTGTGCCACTCTCTCCGTTGTCATGTGGCTGCCCAAGTTGTCCTGGGGTCAGGCAAGACTGGGGAGCATGTATGTGCATGTGCGTGCACAGGACACAGAGAAAAAGGCGGGGCAGGGAGGCATCCTAGGTGAAGGGCCGGGGAGACCTGCAGGGGTCTTCAGGAGCCCCCAGCTTCGTGAGCTGTTACTATTAGAGTAAAGGCATTCTTAGCTCCTCTTCTTGATACAAATCTGAATGTGATGCAAAYCTTGGAGTAGGATTAGAAGTTCATGTGAGTTTCAGGGGCCACAGGTGTCCCCAGGTACCACCTAGTCCTGCTCCCACTTCACCTCCCTGGGCTCTCTCCCTGTGTCCATCAGMGGGCCTTGGAGGTTTCTCAGTGCATTCAGACTGAGTGAATCATGCGTATCAACATGGGTCTCTTGCCTCAGATTCCCCGGGCCTTGCTCAAAGAGGAGCAGCCAGCATAACCCGTGSCTGTAGAGGCCAGGCAGCTTCTCAGGTGCAGCCCGTGTGTGTTCCAGGCCACAGCAGCCAAGGGTTCACTCAGAGCCACCACAACACCATTGCTCTTTCCTCTCCCCTCCTGAATTTCRACCCTTCTTAAAGCCCTTCAAGGGAGTGAGTCACTGTGGTCTAGTGGGAAAACCCCAAGTCAATAAGCCAGAAAGGCATGTGTTCAAATGGCAGCTCCACCATTTAARAACTAGGACTTGAGGCAAACTGAGCCTCGGTTTTCTCACCTGTAAAATGGCTCTGATTGTCCCTATGCTCTGAGGACCCACTCCCAGAAAGTGGAAGAAAAGTCTTCCAGACAGACCCAAAGAGTCAAGGCAGAGAACTGCAACACTGCAGGATATTTGTGACAAAGGGGTGCCAAGACCACCTGCACTGCAGGGTCTTAGGAGCTGAAGAGTCATAGGTACAAAGGGACAAATATTGAAGGAGTTTATTCAAAGTACAATAAGGAGGTGAGAATTATTAGACCCATTTCATGAATGAAGAGATYGAGGCTCAGAGAAGGAAAAAACTTGCTAAGGGTCACAAAGCTAGCAAGTACTAAACTCAAATTCAAGCCCAAGTTGGGTTACACCAAAGCCCAAGTGTTCTTTCTCCTCTACCTCGCTGCCCTCCTACATAGAAGAGGGCAGCAATGACACCGATGACTCACACCACCCAGACCCAGGGCRATGGACAGACCTTGCCTCTGCAGGCATCCTGTCCAAAGCTGTTCCAGCCATGTCACCAGAACAAAGGTTCAAGTGCACCTGCTCCTCTGACAGGCAGGAAGTTTCTTGCAGGCAATGCCAGCTGGGGTTCCTTGCCCGGGTAGGTCATCAGTGTCAAGCAGGCTAGTGCTGAGTCCCAGGAAACCCACCWGCATTTTTTTAGAGCTGTGAACAGGACTCTGACAAGCTGTCCCAGGTGCTGGAGAGTGCACACAGTGCAAGTTCCATCTCTGCTACTAACTAGCTGTGTGACCTAAGTTACCCCACCTCTCTGTCCATTTCCTCATCTAAGCAAYCTTACTGAGCTGGTGTGAGAGCAAAATTGGGTGAGAACAATGCCTTGTGTGCYCAGTGCAGCTGGTGCCAGGAAGTCTCAGTGGAGAAAGGCCGTAGGTGTGAGAAGCAGTCTCGCCTCCTCCACTCAGCACCACTGTGGCCACCAGCAAGTGACAGGCCCTTCTGGACCCCATTTCCCTTGTCTGMAAAAGGAGCATCACAGTGTTTTCCAACTTCACCCAGTGTGTGACAACACCCCCATGTATTACTAGGCACAGAGTGCTTAAATGGTACATGGCAGATGTGAAGAGCACGGTGTGGGTTGGCTGCTATTGTTTTTGAAAATGTGAGCCATCATTATTTTTTCTACTCCTTCCTAGTCACAGCCCCACCTCTTCCCCATTCGCCCATTCATTCAACATGTATTCATCAAGCACCAACTATGTGCCAGGTATTGTTCTAAACACTGGGTTAAAACTGAATAAAGCAGAAAAGGTCCTTGTTATTATGAAGCATGCATTGTCCCTGGGAGACAGGGACTAGAGCAAATAAATATCTAACATATGTCAGGTAGTGATACATTCTCTGAGAACAGAAAAAGTTGAGTAATGAACTCGATATTGAAAGATATTTACATAGATATCTTGGTCTGTTTGTGCACCAATAACAGAATACCTAGGGTCAAAATACCTAAGGTTGGGTCACTTACAAAGACAGGAATTCTTTCACATAGTTGAGGCTGGGCAAGTTCAGTAACTGGTGAGGTTCATTCTTCTCCCAAGATGGCACTTCGAACGCTGTGTCCTCACATAGCAGAAGAGCAGGAGAGAAGGGTCACAGTCCCTCCAGTCCTTTCAGAGGGCCCTAATAACCTCCATAAGGACTCTGCCTGCATCACTTAGTCACCTTCTGAAAGCCCCACCTCCTAATGCTGTCACATTGGTGGTTAAGTTTCAACACATAAGTCTGGGGGATCCATCCAGACTATAGCAGGGGTAATGAAAGGCACATTGAGGAGAGACCTGCATGCATGTGTCTCCCCTGCAGAGAGGTGGCTTAACTTGGTATAAGACATACAGGACTTGGAATTAGACAGGCCTGGATGGGTAAAGGGCAAGACAATGGTTCCCTGAACCAAAAGGAGACTAAGCCTTCTCCTGGMATGGGGTGGGGTGGGCAGGGAAGCTCATGCATATGCTCAAAATCCTCCACCCGGTCCCATCTGTACATCCAGCCAACCAGGGGAAGAGGACAATAAAACAATAATAGTGYTTCTATATTCATCCACCCCTTCCCAGTTTACAAACTGATTTTATCTTCTTTAAGCCCCAAATAGCAAGAAACAGATGGAACACTCAAAGCAGTTAATTAGAGTGAGTTGAATAAAGAAACCACCTCTTGGTGTGGGCAAGTGGGCTGGAGCTCTTCCTGTGCCCCTCCAAGTCCMTTTACCTTCTTCTCCCTGGTCTACTTGGGCCAGGAAGCAGGGACACAGACCTGCAAAGGCTATATCAATGACCTCATGCCCTCTGACACCCAGCTGAGAGTCGCCAATGTGGCTACTGGAATAGCAGGTCAGAGGAATAAGACGGAGACATAGTTCTGGATATTTATTCCCTTAAACCATGTGAGCCTGGCTATGTCCCTACACAGAAATTACAAGCTCCTCTGAAGACCATGGCCACACTGCCTTCAATGCTAATTCCGCTCCCTTCCTTTGGTCTCTTCTTGTCCCTATGAACCAAGGGGAATGACAGCTCTGGGCCACAGCCTTGGGCTCCTGAAGGACTTCTTAGGTTTCCCTAATTTCTTGATTCATCTTTCTAATCAGGCTCTTTGTAAACTAACCTCTCTTCAGTGACCRCTACTTGAATGTGCCACCTCTTTTCTACTGAGGCAATAGGGATAAGAATGAGATGATAATAACTCCTGGAGTGGGCTATGGTCGGAGCTGTCCCCACCTCCCAGACCCACAGGGACAACAGTAAAAGCAGGGACCAGGATCAGTGAGAGAGCCACTGTGGTCCATAATGTTTGAGAAGCAAATGGACCACTCAAGAAGAGCATTTCAGTGCAAGCAGGGCCAAAGGCARAGCAGGAGTTGGCCCTTTCTTTCCACAGTGGAAGAACCAGAGGCCAGAGAATTCACTCAAGGTCATGGGCCCATGTCTGTAGGGGTGGTCCTCTCTCTTCCCACATTCCTGCCTTGACCCACCAAGGAAACTACCAGTAACGCCTTCTGCCCACTGGGGAAGTGCGAGGGAGGGAATTTCTACCCCCTCAYGCCCCACTTCACCTCATCTCACTGGGAAGAATGTGACTGAGGACAGCCACAGTCATTGGGCCCTGAGACATCAGTGGCCACTGTGCTAAAGGCCAAGAGTACTTCAGTCTGTCTTATCTTCCCATGCATTCGTTTGCACCTGAGCTTAACAACGTTTCTTCTCCCAAGTGGCAAGCCCAGTAGTACAGGTCCTCACTTCTTATCTCTGATCTCTCCACACCCCAACCCAACCCAGTTGGCTATCTCTGCTCTTTTGCACCAGGACTAGAGAAGGCAACCGTTCAGATTCATCTACACTTAAAGCTCAGGATGCATTGGTCATGAATTAGCAACACCATCTTTCCCAGACCTAGGGTATGATGGGCAGAGGAGGCAATGCAGGTGTGTAGAGTGGGGAAGGCCCTGCAATCCTCTAAACCTGCGCCTCTGCTACTAGCTGTGAGATCCTAACAACAGCTCCTCCATCTCCTTTGCTGATCTGTAAAGTAAGGATAATAATTGGCTAYTTCACAGGGTTATTGCAAGGATGGAATTGCTAAATTCATGTGAAAGCATTTGTAAGCTTTAATGTTTCCCACAAAGGCCAAGGAGTTGTTAACTCAGCAAAAAGCTTTGCATATTTACGTTATYCCAGGTCCTGTGTAGGGTGTACATTGCACTGCAGACATCCAATAATATTAACTGCATTCAATGTACTATGTTGAATGGCATGTGGTCTTTGCCCTCATGGATTTCACATTTGAAAGAAGAGATAGACATGAAGACAAAAATGCAGAGCGCAATAGGTACACTGCAGAGTTGCCCAGGGCACTGCTACARCATCAACTCAACCTCCTGACCCACCTGGGAGTCTGAAGATTTATGGAAGACATGGTCTCTGAGCAGCTAGTGAAGAGTTAGCCTGGTTAAGGAGGCTAACTGCAGAGTTGGAAGGACATTTCCCACCACAGAACAGGCAGAGGGAATTAAATCATTTAAGTGTGAAATAGAAACAGTATGTGTGTGTGTCCTTGTTTGACTTCTTTTAGAAGCAAACCTTGAAACCAGGAAGTTAGAGCAAGCAATTTACCMGTAGGTGGTCCCAGGAAACCCTGCTGTGGAAGAGAGTGGGAAGGAAAGCAACAACTGATAAATGATCCATTATTGGATCAGCTTCCTCTGTGGGCAACTGGAGCTTAATCCCGCAGGAGAATTCAGGGAAATAGTATAAAAGCTTACCACAAAGTCACCTGGTCCCAGAAGAAAAAAAAGGGGGGGGGGGATAGGACACACCACCTCCCATCATTCACTGGTTGAGAGCTGCTCCTGAGGGCCCCTAGTATCATGACACTTCTAGGCTGCCGCTGACGTGGGCAGAGTGTCCCCTGGTGGTCATTCAGAGAAAAGCACAGACAGTTGAAGCTTGGGGAGAAGATGGCAGGCAGGTGCATGGGCACAGAAGCAGAAATGCCTTGGTGTTTCTGGGGCCCAAGGTTGCAGGCTGAAGAGGTAGGTGGAAGTGAGGGCATGAAYACGTACCAAGCAACAGTGTTTAAGCCTTGTCCTGAGGGCAAGAGTGAGCCACTGAAGGGTTTTAAGAATGGGAGAAGCATGACAGTACAGTATCTTCAGAGGATCACTCCACCTGCTGTATAGCAGATGCTCCTGAGGTCTGCCAGTAGGTGGCTGTCATATTAGTGGTCAAGGAAGGACCTGGAAAGGGTTAACTTTTTTAATTGTAGGAGGATTTAAAAAAAAAACTTAGGAGACAAAAACAAACTTAGCGGGACTTGGTAATTTAATGAATGTGGGCCTGATGGATAAGGATTCAATGGTGACTCAGACTCCCTATCTGATGTTTGGCAATTCTGGTGCCTCTAGCAGAGTTACAGAATGAAGGAGCAGATGCAGGGATAGCAGGAGAGATGCGCTGGGTTGATAGCATTGTAAATTGAAGAGTGTGAGGAAAACCCAGCATAAGACATATAAGTCCAAAGCCCCAGAATAATGGACCTGGAGATAGAAATTCAGAAACTGTCTTCATGTGGGTATTGGAAAGGCTGAGAGTGAATGAGATAGACCAGGTAAGTGTGTAAAATTTGAACCAGTCAGTGGATCAAGGACAGAACTGAAGCAACCATCAG